GATCTCGGCTCACTGCAACCTCCACCTCCTGGGTTCAAGCGATTCTCCTGCCTCAGCCTCCCGAGTAGCTGGGATTACAGGCATGCGCCACCATGCCCGGCTAATTTTGTATTTTTAGTAGAGACGGGCTTTCTCCACGTTAGTCAGGCTGGTCTCAAACTTCCGACCTCAGGTGATCCACCTGCCTTGGCCTCCCAAAGTGCTGGGACTACAGGCGTGAGCCACCGCGCCTGGCCTTCTACTTCATTTTTAAAGACATGCAGATTTGTAACACCATGCAGTGATTTCACGTTCATGATCTGGGGACCACGGCCCTAAATAGCAGCAGCAATGTACCCCAGGTCCCCATAGACTCTGTGTGTTTTCTCTCGGGAGTGCATCAAGTGGGCTATTGTTCTCCCATACCACAGACGAGTAAACTGAGGCTCAGCAAAGTGAGTAATCTGCCTCAACTTCCCCAGCTCAGAAGGACCAAGAGTGGGTGGAGACCTGAATGCAGGTGTGTCGGCTTCCAAATCCGGGTCCCACCCAGCCCCTCCGCCGGGCCTGGGCCCCCGCTCTCGCTCACCGCTGCCGGAACTCCTGGAAGAGGATGCGGTTGGGGAAGCCCTGACGACAGATGCGGATGCCCTCCAGGACGCCGTTGCAGCGAAGCTGATCCAGCACCAGCCGCGGCTCCAGCTTCCCGGCCTGGGGAGAGGACGGACACGACGGGGGGTGTGGGGGGGGTGGTGGTCAGCGGCGGCCACACGGGGGCGCCAAACGGTCAAGCGTGGCAAATTCCTATGTTTCCATATGTAATTTACTGAGCACCTACTAGGTGCTTAGGAAATGTTCCAGGCCCTGGGAACACAGCAATGCTCAAGCCAGGGGGAAATGCCTTCCCTGGGGGAACTGAGAGTTAAGTGAGAGAAACTGGAAATACCCTAGGTGAAGCAGTCACTAGTAAAGAAGAGATACTAAGTGCTAAGGAGAAAAGATTCGCAGGGAGGGAGGTGGGCAGGGCTGAATTTGCACGCGCGAGAGTCGCCAAAAGGCCTCCTGGGAAGCTGATGTCTGTCCACAGCTGGTAAATCATGGTGTTTTGTTTGTTTGTTTGTTTGTTTAAGACAGTCTTGCTCTCTTGCCCAGGCTGGAGTGCAATGGCATGATCTCAGCTGACTGCAACCTCCACCTCCCAGGTTCAAGAGCTTCTCCTGCCTCAGCCTCCTGAGTAGCTGGCATTATAGGTGCCCGCCACTATGCCCAGCTAATTTTTGTATTTTGAGTACAGATGGGGTTTTGCCATTGCCCAGGCTGGTCTTGAACTCCTGGGCTCAAGCAGTCCTCCCACCTCAGCCTCCCAAAGTGCTGGGATTACAGGCATGAGCCACCGTGCCAGGCCGCCTTTTCTCTTTTCAACAGTAATACACAAATGGCAAAAATCTAAACAGTACAAAAATTCAAATGGCACATGCTGTCATTAAATATGCCACCAAGAAAGGAAAAAGCCTGGCAATTAATCCCCGACAGGCCATTGACAGTAAGCTACATCTCGACTTCAGAGACGCTAGTGGGGAGGAATACATATCTTAGATTTGATAAAAGATGGGATCTCAGGCCGAGCGTGGTGGCTCACGCCTGTAATCCCAGCACTTTGGGAGGCCAAGGTGGGTGGATCGCTTGAGCTCAGGAGTTCGATACCAGCCTGGGCAACATGGCAAACAGCGTAGTTTTCCATTCCCATTGACCCTTCTCTGTAGGGCCCATTCTCTGATTTTCTCAACATGAAAATCAGTGGCCAGTGAGGCTGGCCATGGTCTTGTCACACCTATGCAACAACCCCAGCCCTGATGGCCTTCTTCTATCCCTTGTACCTCGCATGCTCCATCCTACCATTGGACCTTTGTACAAACTGTTCTCTGTCTGGAATACCACGTATCCTTCAGGGCTCCGTCATCGCCTCCCCCAGGGAGCCTTCCCTAACTTCACTGACCAGATCAAGCCCTATGTGACACTTACCACCCCTACAGATTTAACTGGGTATTCATTGTGGGTGGTTAGATGAATGCCTGTGCTCCCCATCAGACTGTGAGCTCCCTGAGAACAGGAGTTGGCTGTGTTTTTCTCTCCAATGCCTCCCCAGTACCTGTTCCCAGCATGGTAGGTGCTCAATACATTTAAGTTATATGAATGGATGAATTTTCCCAACCGGACCCTGAGCCTAGGAACAGAAGCAATTTGCTCAAAGCCACACAGTCAATCAGAGAGGGTCCTCAAATCAGATGTGGCTCCAGCCAAGTCCAGAGGCCAAACCTTAACCCACGGCCACAGCCATCCCTTCCTCCCCAGGCTGAGTCACTCACCCTCTTCTCATGGTTGGGGACAATGCAGCGGACAAAACTGGGGTTGGTGTTGCTGAGTGTGGCCATGAGGCGGCTCAGAGACTCCTTGTAGAGCTGTCCCACTGTCCGGAACATACCCCGGCGGGGGCGGCCACCTGGTGGGCCATCGCCCAGGCTGCTCACCTGTTCCAGCCCCACGATGCCCTCCACTGTCAGATGGAGATACAGAGAGACAGAAGGAGGTCAGGGATCAGTTTTAGGGACCGGGCCAAAGGTCAAGGGTCTTATCATTTATCACAACTGACACTTTACATATGAAGGACCTCACACAGCCTGTAAGGTAGATATTATCAGCTCCATTGGACAGAGGCTCTGAAGGGTGGGAGAATGTGCTTAAGGTCACGCAGCTTAGAAACTGAAGATCCAAGATTAGAACCCAGACAGTAGGAGTACTCTCTAACCCTGGTCTTTGACCCTTCTTCTCTTCAAGGACATGATCTCTGTTTTCCTTAACAATAAATGATGACAATAACAGCAAATGCTTACCTAGCATAGATGCTCTGGCAGGCACTGCTCAAAGCAATTTACATCAATGGCTTTATAAGCCTGTAAGAATCATTCCCATTTTATAGATTTGGAAACTGAGGCACAGAGAGAGAAAACAGTGATAACATAATCACTGCAGTTGCATTTTAGGAATCTGAAACATATTACAAAATGTAATAAATTATTGCATTATATGCAATATTTGAAATAGGGCAAATGATCTCCATGTTAACCATTTTTCCAGAATGCCTGATTTCATAGAGGTTTTATTTTCTTGGCAGGGCACGGTGGCTCATACCTGGAATCCCAGCACTTTGGGAGGCCAAGGTGGGTGGATCACCTGAGGTCAGGAGTTCGAGACCAGCCTGGCCAACATGGTGAAACCCCATCTCTACTAAAAATACAAAAAATTAGGCAGGTGTGGTGGTGCGTGCCTATAATCCCAGCTACTTGGGAGGCTGAGGCAGGAGAATCACTTGAACCTGGGAGGCAGAGGTTGCCGTGAGCCAAGATCACGCCACTGCACTCCAGCCTGGGCAACAGAGCGAGACTCCGTCTCAACAAAAAGATTCTATTTTCTCTATTGCCACTTGGTGGTGCTGCTTTCGGTAGTGAAAAATATCCGAAAAATATCCACTCCCTCCATCGGTACTGTCTCGAATTCTGTTTTGTTTGTTTGTTTTCTGAGACATGGTCTCGCTGTCACCCAGGCTGGAGTACAGTGGAGTGATCACAGCTCACTGCAGCCTCAATCTCCTAGGCTCAAGTGATCGTCCTACCTCAGCCTCCCAAGTAGTTGGGACTACAGGCACACACCACTGAGTTTTAAATTTATTTTTAGAGACGGGGTCTTCCTGTGTTGCTCAGGCTAATCTCAAACTCTTGGCCTCAAGTGATCCTCTCACCTTGGCCTCCCAAAGCGCTGGGATTATAAGGGTGACTCAGTGCACCTGGCCCAAATTCTATGTGTTAAATCATGCCAGGCTCCTCAGGAACCCACAGCTAGGGCGGAATCTGATGTCCTTCAAAAATCATCCCATTCAAGGGCCATCAGCCATCAACTAGATAATCTGTGCTTAGGGCAGGGCCAAGTCATGGCAGGGGCTCAAATATGTTATTTTCTTCCCCAGGTTCAACTGTCTCCCCTACCCCATACTCCCTGTCATTTTCAAAATGATAATTATCATTTATGAAGTCCTCATAGCACAGATAAGAGCTAAAGTTCTGAAATCTGATGTCCTGGGTTCAAATCCCAGCTCTGCCACTTACTGGCTGTGTGACCTCAGCAAGTTACTTAACCTCTCTGTGCTTTAGTGTCCTCATTTGTGTAATGGGGTAATAGTACTAACACTCACCTCATGAGGTGTTAGTACTATTACCCCATTACACAAATGAGGTGTTGATAATTCTAAAGGGGCTTCACATGGTGAACGGCACATGGTAAGTGCTCAAGAAACGCCAGCTGGCACTATCACACCTGTTTGTACTTTTATATGCAGTTTAGTTAGAAGAAGGCGTTCTGCTGCTACAGAGTCTAGAAACTTCCGAGGGAGCCAACAAGGAGGGATAGGAAGAGTGAGAGACCTCCATAGTGAGAGGAGAGGGGACAGATGTTCAAACCCAGGTCCCCAGCCCAACAGGTCCACCCTCCTCCTCCAGCAAGCCTCACCCATTGATGCACAGAGACACCCACCCCCTGGCGGAGAAACAGCAGAGCTGCACCTCTCTGCAGATCCTGGGGGCGACGGTGGGAAGGAGCCAAGGAAAGAGAACTGCTGGAAACCCCCGTGTTCTGGGGAGTGAGGACAGATGTGTGGGTGGGTGGAGGGGAGATGGCAGAGAGATGTCGGGGAGAGATGCATGAAAAGAGGGGAAGGAAAGGAGGTGGCAGGAAGAAAGAGAGGAAAGGGTTATTAGTCAACAGCACAGAGCAGAGCAAAGCAAAAGGGAAAACCAGAATGTTGGCCATAAACTTTTGAATTCCTATTCATCTTTGTATCCACACACTGTTGGCCAAAAGGACGAATGTCCTCTGTAAGAATTCAGTGCAAAGAATAAAAAATCTCTCCCTCTAGAGGTTGTATCTGTTTTAATAGGTAGCCCTTTTTGCTCTGGCTGCCAGGAAGCTCAAGAATGAACGTGATGCTCCCAGGCCACTTGTTGTTTTTGCCTCTCAGAGGAGAGCTAATCTCATTTACCTTTTTCCCTGGGCTGTCAGGATGATGGGCATACAATTCTGGGCTCAAAGCAGCTCTAGTATAGGTTGGGCAAAAATGGCCCAGATTCCCCACTTTTCTCTGTATTGACACCCTTTGCCTGCGTCTTGCAGCTCCTTGAATCTGGGAAGACCTCGTGACTGCCTTTGTTTAGGAGGATTATGAAGGAAGTGACATTATGGCAGCTCCCCAGCTACTTGGGAGGCTGAGCCAGCAGGTTTTGCAGCTTCCACTTTTTCTCTTGGAACCCTCTGAGAGTCAGGCACACACAGAGTGTGACAAATGAGGGCTCACTGTAGAGAATCAGGTGTTTATGAAGAGGGCACAAATATTTCAAAAGGGCAGCAGATTTTCAGCCGGTGGAGATGATTCTCATAGCGTAATCTTGGTCTGTTCCTGAACATCAAACCCTGCTTTCAATCTCCTGTGTAAATACTACATGAGACACAAACACTAAAATCTATCTTTCTAGCCAGACAGCTCACAAGATCAAGGACCCTCGTGCTCTTTTGCTCTGTGAGTGTGTTTGGGAACCACTCGTCTTGCTCAATTTGCCAAATTGCATGGACTGGTATTTCTACAGCTGCCTTTTCACTTCAATAAAGATTAAAGGCAAACTGACAAATGCCAGAAAGTTGTAACCTGGAAAAACACAGGATGCTAGTTCTGCCAGCTTTCTAAAACATTTCTCAAACCTCCTTTAAGGATGGGCATGGGGATGGGGGCAGTGGCAGAAAAGGCATGGAAAAGGTCAGAGTCCTACACAAGGGCATTTGGCATCTCTGCCTATGACCCCTAGAAGTTGTCAATCGAAAAAGACAGTAAAACTCATGAGGGGCCTTTTTGGGGGGAAGGAAAGCCCTCCAAAACTGTATCTCAGTCTGTTCTTTCTTTCTTCTCCCTGGGAGCTTGAAGGGAACTTTGTAAGAAACAAAAGAAAGCAAAGCCTAAAAGTTGACTGACTACAAAACATCATCTTCTGTGTTCTCTGGTTGTTATAAATTATTTTTCAGTAGAATTTTTTTTTTTTTTTTTGGAGACAGATACTCACACCCCAGGCTGGATTGTAGTGGCACAATCTTGGCTCACGCAACCTCACCTCCGAGGTTCAAGTGATTCTCCTGCCTCAGCCTCCCAAGTAGCCTGAGACTACAGGCATGTGCACCACACCTGGCTAATTTTTGTACTTTTAGTAGGAAAAGTACTTTTAGAGTACTTTTCACCCATGTTGAAACCCCATCTCTGGGGCTGGTCCTTGAACTCCTGACCTCAAGTGATCCGCCCACCCTTGGCCTCCCAAAGTGCTGGATTACAGGCATAAGCCACCCAATGCCTGGCCAAATCTCTTAATTTTTTAGAGAACACAGGCCATCTTACAATATAATAAGTTTACCTCTTCCATTTTTGACTTTCATATTTTTTTCTGGTCTGATTGCATAGGCTAGTATTGCTAAAAAAATAAAAAAAAAGTGATGTTTAACAGCAGTGTTAGTGGGTATCTTTGTCTTGTTTCTGATTAAGGGGGAGTGTTTTATCTTTGAGAAGGATGCTGGCTTATCAATCAAATCAATCAATCTATGGATCCATCCATCACTGATTTGAAATACTATTTGTGACACGGACTGTTCTGGGTCTGAGCAGAAAACTCAGGTTCAGATCTCAGCCTCTGAAACAAAAGTGCTCACACTAGGGTTGGGCAAATGGCTGCACAGACCACCAGGGCCGGAGCCGGGGAAGCAGGTCCTCACCATCTTTCCAGATCTCTGCCGTCAGCCGGTCTGTGCTCTGGTGAAGCAGGGCTGCGACATTGTCATTCAGAGGGTCCATGTTTTTCATCAGCCACTCGTTGGCCTTGTAGTCGACCTGAATGAAGTCAGGTAGAGGAGGGCAATGACTTGCAGGCTCAGACATTCTCTGGATTTCCTAAGGAGCCTTCCAGAAGCTCTGAGACTCCCAGGTCTGGAGCTCACCATGGACAAGAGGGCACCGGTGCCACCTTGTGTCCATATTCTGAACTGCACCCCACCAGCATGGCCCCCTCTCTCTCCTTCCTCTCTATGTCCCCTGCCATAGAGACCTCTGTGACCTCCACCGCCACCACTTTCTTCCTCGTTCCTCTCCAGCCACCCTGGCCTCCGCATTGCTCCTTAAACACACGAGCTTACTCCCACCTCGGGGTTTTACCCCTGCAGTTCCTGCCACCTAGGGTTCTGTCTCTGGATTTCACATGACTGGCTCCTTCTGGGTACTCAGGGCTTTGCGTTGGGGCTCCATAGAGTCACGATCTTGGCCACTACAATTCTCTGCATATGTGCCCCCCAACAGACAGCGGCCCCCCGAGGGCAGGACCGAGATCTGACTCACAGCCTAGCAGAGGGCTGGGTACAAGGGGAGTTCTGGAGTATGTCTGGGGAAGAAACTGAGGGCTACACACAGAACACGTGGAATCTCCTGCCTCCTAGCCATTGTCTATGCTGTTACCTCCGCCTGGACAGCCCTTCCCACCCTTCACCCATCCTCTGGGGCTGCGTGGTCCGCATCATCAAAACCAGGGATCAGTAAACTATGGCTCACGGGCAAAGTCCAGCCTGCCACCTCTTTTTGCAAATACTTTTATTGGAACAGGCCGGGCGCAGTGGCTCA